CCAATGACGCTCATCGTGTAATTAGAACCGCTCCGCTTTTTGACCTCGATTTCACTGCCTTTCTCCAAACCTAACCTCTCTTGGAATGCTCCACACATTATGGGACTAGGCGGTGATCAAGTGACACTACGGTGTCACTTGAACGCCGCCTGGCTAATAGAACGACGCAGGCCGGAAAAATTTAAATTTCAACCTTTCCAGCCTAGACTGGTACCACAAGACTGACTTTTTGCCTGCGGCGGGTTCTTCGTCTGCAGAGGTCTTATGAGGGACAACTTCATTCGCTACCTACATGTGATCTTTCACCCTTTTCAACCGAGTTCTCAGCTCTTGCACGGTCCTCAGGATCAGATTGGAGACTATGCCCGCAATTGGATCCGCACTCTTCAAACAATATTTCCATTTTTCCCAGACCGGCTTTCTCTTGGGTTGTTTATAAAAACATGCAACCGTGCTCATGCAGCGACCCCCTACCATTAAAAACACTTGAAACTTTCATTGGCTTTCTATATACAATTTCTCATGCAAAAAAAAACAAGTAATTCGAAACACAAGCAACTTAAAAACAACAACTGATTGTCAACAAAAATAAAAACACTTGCTAAATTATAATATATAAATAAATTTTTCTACTATCTACGGACTCTGTGAAAGGTCACGGTCCAGGCACAATGTTGTCAAATATTTGGCGTATTGACTCATCTTCCTGAAAAAAAAAATGATAAGAAATTAGAAACCATTCAGGATATAGTGGCGAAAACCGATCGAAAATTAAAATGGTGGTTTTAGAGCCATAGTATAACAAGGAGAAAATTTTCTATGAGACAGGGTATTTATAGGACTTCGCTGACCTCTTTTTGCCCGTTGATGCCTTGCTAGCGATGAGCTTTTCTTCCCTCTGGGATCGCACTTTTTTCAAAATCATCTGGCACTGATTTGTGTATCAGATAAACCCCGCACCGCCGAATACGCCTCCATCAGTCAGAAAGGCCACTACTGTTCTCTATAGAAAGACCGAAAATGCGCTACCGTCGATCCCAAAAAGGCGAGAAAGACAGTCATGGACTACCGGACAGTAAGCAGTATGCACGAAAGAATATGACCTAATTGCCTACGAAGAAACGAGTCCCTTTATTGCAGGTTAATTTCCTTGATGCGACTTTCATAGCTGCTGCCCTCTTCCACGCTAACGCTTTCTTTGGTGTGAGTGGCGAGGGTACAGCCCTCCTAAGTCACTGAGGGCACATTTTGCAACGAAGCGAGTCGTCCGCACCCTTAGAAGCCCGTCTGCCTACGATTAGTCACATTTCCTTTCTATGACTTCCTAAACTTGTCGTGGAACCCTACTTCAAAGAAGGTCAGCGTATTTTCTTTCATTTCTCCTAGCCAGTACGTGCCAAATTTCATGAAAACTTTCGCACAATCGAGCTGTGATCGACCAATATCCATCCTTGAGTTTCTATAAAGCATACCACAAGTAAGATGGATTACCTGTAAAAAATCATAAAGTTTCTCTATTTTTGTAGCGTCCTCGCTTTCAACATGCACCGGGTGGAGGGGTCGGAACTGAAGCTCAGCGGATTCGACAATCAACCTGAACAACGACAGGTAAGTTAAATTGGATGAACAACCACGTCAAAAAAGTGCCTTAATGGTATCACCCAAATCGATGTGATACTCACCCTTTATCAGTCAAAGCTTTCTCCACTTTGGTTAATTTCCTCGGTTCACACACTAACTCGTACACGCGATCTTCGTCTTCAACGAGAGAGACGTCTTCGCAATCCAATTCGATACCGATCTCCTCCATCTAGAATTATATGTTCGGAAAAACATAAAAATCCCATTAATGAATCATTTTTGCACCTGTTCCAGAGTCACTGGCCCGGTTTTGGACTTCTCATTCACGCTCAAGAACTCCTTTCTGTTCGAACCAGCTTAACACTGCTGACGCTTCAGAGGCGAATCGAAAGCCTCCAACCTGAAAATATGTGGAATGAAAAATGAAAAGTACAAAAAACGAGGAAACAGACCCCACCTTGTTGAAATATTTTCGCATTGTGTTCTCTAATGTTTTCTTGTTGTCGGTTTCAGCTTCGATTATGAAAAATGTACCAGATGGGCCAATGACGTTGAACTGAACCTCAATCTCGGGTCTTTCCTGAAATTGAGGAGTAAGAACAGCCAAATTCGAGAAGATTCCACTACGAAACTACCTTCATTTTGATGAGAAAGTTTTTCAATGTGTCGAGAGGGAGCCCTTTTGCCCGAAACTCCTGCTCTAATCCGGCCAATTCTCGATTAAGCTTTGGGTCGAATCCACCACGAGACACTGCAGATCTGACCTGAGAATTATTTTAAAGTTGAATATCGTAGCCTTCCATGTAAAGTTGAGTGTACAAACCTTTGTCAGCAAAACTGTTATTGCCTTTGATCTTAGCATGTCATTTTTACCCTTTGTGGCCTTGATATTCTGCCATTTCGAATGACCTTTGAATAATCCACTCGAAAAGCATAATCCTCTCCTTGCTATCGCATATGCTGAAGGTAACATCTGAAAAAAGGAGTATTACCCACTGACCACTATGAGTGGCACTATTGAACGTAATGCTAATCGATGCATCAGTAAGCACACCAAACAAGCCAGAAAAATAAGAAGAAGAATAAGAATAAGAAAAGAAGAAAAATTGCTGTAGCAAGGTCTGCGGGACTATTTTAATGTGGCGGTCACGAATACGACATCCTTTTTGGCGCAGACGCCTTTTAACGCCCTTTTGCCGCCACTGACACAATTGTGATTATCAGTCAACAGCTGGTGAGAAGGTGTTTCAGTCTCCGCCAGTCACTGTTCCCAAACTATCCACTTCCAGTATAAGAAAGAATTTCTTGAGGAGTGTAATCCGTTGGAGTTGTAATAGCGTAATAGGGCCTGCGTCCACTGTTTGCTTTTTCATCCGTCCTTTGCAAGCCTCTGTTTTCTTTCGGCCTAGAGCCGTCTAAGAAGTAAATAAGTATGTTAATTTTAACCCTGCCCACTTCGTTGCTCGCCCTGTCCACTATTCGCTCTCGGTCTGCCCACCTTCGCCAACCTCTATCATACTTATTTACTTATTACTCACTACATACTTATTTATTTCTCTTTCCCAGGCGTTCGAAACACAAAGCCCAAACTGAAACGAAACGAACACGAAACCGACACAGAAACACAATGCGCTCTTTGGTGAGGAGGACATTTCCACACCATCACTACCCTCATCCTAGAATGATTTCTCCCCGTTTCTTTACTCACTTTGGTTCACTTATCATCTTCGCTTTTTCTGGAAACACACACGAGGGCAGTTTAATGGGAACCAACATATTCAAACAGCGAAAAAAAATAGATAGAGGCTCCAACCATTAAGCAAAACAACAGTGTCCATAACAAAATTTTATAGACGAGATCTAAGTAAGAAGAATTTCAAGGTACGAAACTGAACGTAACATAACATAAAAGCAAAGATCACCTGTAACAGTCACCAGAGAACATCTAACGAGCCGAAAACGGATCACTTATTGGAGTTTCTATACAAATTAATCAACATGTTCGACCACTTTTTCAAACTTTTTCATATTTTTCGGATTTAACATGTCGGAAGTGAGAAGCGAAATACCCAGCTGATCAGCCTTTGTGAATGGTTGAGCCATCAGTGTCAGCCATCTGGAAATAATCAAGGAAATGTAGGTGAAAGAAATTGTGAGGAAGTGAAATAATAGAAGGAATAATTTAAAAAGGAACGAAAGACTACCTACCGTCGAGCCAACTGCACTGGCCTCGTCAATACTCAAATTTGTTGATGCCGTCTCCAAATACTTCTTGCATCCAGCGAGGAAGTTTACCGCGTTTATCTTGACGTGAAAACCTCTGGAAAATTATCATGTAGTAAACACAAGCGGGGGCGGAAGTGGTGTAGTGGCAAGTGGCACGCTTACCACGCGAGCGGTCCGGGATCAAATCCTGGGTCGTGAGTCGCCCGGGCCAACCAAGCCTTCCATCCCTCCGGGGTCGGTTAATTGGTACCAGACTTGTCTGGGAGGATAAAAACACTGACTTGTATCGGCTGGCCCCCGCAAGTCATTGTATAGGCCACATCGCATTCAAACGCCACTGCGAATGTACAAATGGAAGTAGAATGCGTGCCGCATTCCAAAAAGGATTGATCAACGGCAAATGCTTTATCCTTTATCCTGAACCAAGCAGCGGAGCGCTGGCTCCTGTTGGATCTGTACGTCTAAATAATTGGAGAGTAGATTCTACGCGACTACATTAAAACGCAACCTACAAAGTGTCGATTAAGCTGTTCGTTGTCGCCTTACCGCGACCTAAGACATTGTACCACCTATGCCCGAATCTTGTCACAATGAAAATATTGGTACGCACTCTACCCCTGAATCCCCTTAACTCTCCCTAGTCACTTATCTCCCGTGTGGCACTGTCAGAACTGTGATAGGCGCCATTCCCCGACTGCTCTAGCCTTTTTTCGCAGAAAACATAATATCAAGGAATATCAAGTAGTCATGTAACCGATATGCATGACCTAACACATATACGAGTAGCGCCAACAAGTGCGACTGTGCGCTAAATCGCAAGTACTATGGACAACACAAAACTTGCCGTAGAACTAACCTTATCTGCAAAAATCATGAGACCATAGTCTGTCTTGCCTCGAAGTGCCCGTCCCATACATTGTGCGGTGTGACGCATGGCGTCAAATGTGAGAAAGTCATTCTCTCTGGAAATTTTCAACATTAGTCAGGCCCAGACGGGCTGAGAGCAAGATTGACCATTACTTATGCGAACTATCCGAAGTACGCAAGCCTAGCTCGTAAGAATGCGCCTCCCGTGTACAATAAGGTATACCCACATTGATTCACACCGACGTAGCAAAAAAAATGAACATGACGATAAGCATTTCAGTGATGCATGCCCAGTTGATTCACTCCTGTCTGAGATACGCTGCTGGTGGGTCACTAGAGCAGGGAGGCCGTCGCGCGTTGTAGAAGGAAGGGCAAGTCGACGTATCACAGTGTGCTCGGTGTCGATGTCACGTAGTACAGTTCGTACATACTATTTACTTGACGCAAATCACTATGTACTGGCGACGACTCGCCGCTAATATGCGCGTACGCGTGGAGGCTATAGCTCAGGCTACCATGCGTGCGTGTCTCTTTTTCATCAGAATAGAACCAGTGGAAAAAAGTATTGAAAATCCTAAAGACAATTGGCGCAACATGATACATTCGGAGACCTGAACGTGAAGCGATACAGTTTACAACTAACCAAGATGATGACTGAAATCGATTCCCTCCGAGACCTTTCCTCGAACTACAGAGAAAAGACATGCACCACGACCGCTATCGCCCCCCCCCCCCCCCCCCCGCAGCATCAGAACTAGGAAGCTGCGGCTTGAATGGACTGTGTATTAATTAGACTTTTGTCTTTCTCATGAAACGATTACTGCTCCAGAGCTACGGATGTATGTATGATGTATGTTTCTAAAGCATCGTTCGTCTCTATGAATAAAAGTTTGGACTTCATTAGTTCGTCGATCACATGCTGGAAGTAGGAAAAATTTATTTTTATAACGCCTGACAAATAAATATCATAACTAATACTGATTATTCTAAAATCCACCTGATCGTACCACACAGCTATTACTTGTCCTGTTGCGACGAGGCTGTGAATAATACCACGATCCATTCCATCGGGGACAACAGCAGCCATTTCTAGCACCAGATTCCCATAATTTCGGATAACAGCAACATCATTCCTCTGTTCAAAGCGAGATGTCATCGCAACCTGAATAAAAATGATATGAGTGAAACAGGTTTCTAATCGGACGATACCAGAGTCTGCGATAGATTGCGTTCACTTCAGATCATTGCATGGCTTCTTTCCAAACAGTAACTCCATTTAGATTTCTCTATGAACCCAGTATGCTCATTCAAAAGTGTCGTTTCGTAGAGCTGGATCATCGCATCAAAACGTTTCGTTTCGTAGACTGATCTTACTCTGGAAATTCACTTCTGTATCTACAGTACATCGTAAAGCGACATTCTTTCTACATCACCGCTGTGGATGACTTTGGTTTTGTAAGAACAATGGGGACGGCTAATCCGCGAGCAGTAGTTTGACTTCTACTACTCAACGTATTGAAGATTCATTCTGTCATTCAACTCTTTCGCAATTTCCGTTCATACAAACGTTCGTATCAAGATTTCCAACAGCAAAAAGGCACTAAACTAGGTAGGCAACGTCTTGATCGTGCACTCTTCTCTGGAAAACAGCAAAGATTCACCTGATCATTTCCTCTCGCAACGACCAAAGGACTCAAGCAGGGGCGAGCAAGAGTCATTGTGAGCACCATAACAGCAGGGTCGAAGTCAAGGATTTTTGGGTACATCTCTAGCGGTGAGAGGGTACCCGACGTGATCACAACCTAGATATGACAAAAACATTAGCAGTAGAAAGTAGTTCTCGGCAATGGATCAAGAATACCGTTTGAAACCGTTCCATAACTGGTCTGATAGCGATTGAAGCATCCATGCATGACAGCGTTAATTGTGCAGGTTGATTCGACTCACTTGGCTCAATGATCACGGAAAATCCCTGAACTTTTGGATAAACGTACTAATTTACTCAATTTTCGAAATTATGCGAAGCTCAAACAGCGTGATAGTAAGGAAAAAAACCAGTCAACAAAATATTTACTGGTGACCAACCTTGAAGTCCACCTCGCATCACCGAGATCAGCCCGAGAGCTACTTTGGACAACCTCAACATCGAAATCAGATCCATCTGCAACTTCGAGCGTTCTCGTCAGATTGTCCAATCGTTCAGCACAGAACCTCAAGGGTTTTCTGTCAATATACATTCTATCCTGGATGTCTTTCACGAATGCGGCTGGACTTTCGAGAAGTACCTGAAACATGAAATTTTTAAAGAAGGAAAAAGGGAAAGCCGTTGCCCTTCGCTCAATTAACTGCGGGGACATTTGATCACTTATGCGTACCCAGTAACCGAAGATTCGTCAAAACAATAGTGAAAGCCAACTGAATGTTTCTTAAGAAAAGGGACTAACAGAAAGGAAAACGTTGATATTAAAAAAATAAGTAACAGTTTTGTTACAGCTGAGAGAGAAGTAGCAACAAATATATTCCACGGGGCTATGCTTTATTGTTCCTATTCTTTACTAAAATCGAATTTATTATTCATCGCGAACATCATATTTCACAAACCTGAGAGCTCCTCATTCTGTGTCTCACGATCAACGAAGCCCTATTTACATTACCATTACAAAATGTGCGCCAAGTTTGCTTAGTCGATCAGGAACGCCTCATTACATTATATCGCATCGGGTTAGAACAGGATTCGCTAATCGCTCATCATTAGCTCTTTCCTGTTCCGATCTGTAAAGTTTTATTGCAGGAGAAAAAAAAAATCGAATCCTTCCTTCCGTTCACTAAACGGTAAAGATGACGATACCTCCTCCTCAATCCTTCAACTAGCTTTTCGTACTCATTCTGCAATCTTTCTGAATTCTCTGACTTCATACGCTGAACTGCTGACTCAAGTCTAAAATGTTAATTCTTTCACCTGAGTAACATATGTAGATGCAGAAAACGAAATCTTCTGCGAGATATTGAGAACTCACTTCACTTGTATCGTGGCCGCTGCCTTTTTCGTATAGTTTTGTTGTAGATATGATTTGAATCAGCAGTTTGAGTCTCTGATGCAGATCCATATATCATGTTATGCGCTTTCGTCAAACATCTCGACACGATCTGAAGATATAATAAATCTGCAAATGCCAATAACGTATCAGACATCTCTGATAGCACAGATATGGCAGAAATTATCACGAGAAAAGGAAGCAGTGCTGAAAACTAGGTTCCTCCAGAATCTCTTTCTAGTTTCAGTTGAAAATTGTTGACAAAGTTGAAATATGGATCCCAAACTCCCTTTCATCACATATGCTTAACCAAAATCTGCACGGGTTACTGAAGAGAAATTCATTGAGCTGTGGCCCCTGCGATAGCGATAGCGAATGAAAAGGAGCACGTGAAGAGGAAAACTACGGCAGAACAGTCCCAAATATCCGTTTTCGCTGATCAATTCTATAACTAGGAAAAAAATACAAAAAAAATGAAGAGAAAAGACTACCTGCGGCTGAAATCTTTCGACACTAATTCAGCGATTTTGGGATCGAGAATATAGTGGTAGGAGTACACTACTATGGAAGCTTTCCTTATCGCTTCTCGAGCGACAAAGTATGGACAAATACCACGGTCGCGACCAAGTTGTTTAAGATCACTCTATAATACCTATTTATACATAATTATAGCTTTTTTAGGGAGAGAATGAAGAGAACAACTCACGAGGTTGTATATTCCAGGAGGGAGACTGAACTGTTGTTGAGTATTGAGGGTCTCGAAAAACGAACACGCCGGTATGGACGGATCAAATTGACGACGTGCGCGAACGAAGCTAGCAGTTAGCCTTTGACAACCACCGTCCACCAATGAACCTGATCGCACGCAACATGACAGAATGAAAGTATGAAATGATAATGCAAGTATGCGACTATTCGACAATTTCTCTGACTATTTTCGCAATGTTAAGCTATCCTTACAAGGTTCGTCAGCAATCACTCAACTAAAGGCGTCGTTCTGCACCTGTAGTCGTGAAAAGGGTTATTCAGGACGACAATCTCAGCGAAATGCCCAGCCGTTAATAAATGTTACCTGGCCACCCTAACGATACAAGGTACGTACCAAATGAGCACCGTATCTTCTGCTAAATTCCACCTTCATTGCTCCAAAATTCCTTCAGCTATTATCAGTATTGATAGCAATGATAGAAACACAATGTTTTTATTTGACGCCAGCTCAGCTTTTTTTGTATAGTTCCACAAGTTCCTATCATGGATCTGTCAGGGTAAATCTCTCCAGCACGAAAACCTACCTTGCCTCAACGATGCTACAGATTCATTTATGCACAGATTTTTCCGAGCAGACATCGCTACAGCCACAAATGGAGGAGCACCCTAAAGTAAGGGTTGTGTAAGTAAAGAACAAAGACACAAACAGAGAGAAGAAATAGGCTCTTATTAATTAATCCAATCCAATGGTACTCTTACTGCAGTTTGCCGCTCATAGAATTTGTACAGAGCACGTAACTCCTCCATGCATTTTTCAATCTCAGGAATTGTTCGGGAACAATAAACCAGTTTATCTGAAAGGGAGTTACTCCACATTGTATTGCGTATAAGCGGAAAACAATCTTCGTACCGAGGCGATCAGGAAATCTCCTCATGTAGGCCACAACCAAAGAAAGTAGCGATACAGTCTTCCCCGTACCGGACGGCATTTCCAGAAGGCAGTGCCCCTGAATGGGATTTCGGGACTCTTTTCTTATTTACAGCTATTTGAACCTACCTGTGCATCGATAGCCTTCTTCACCTCCTGCATATACAACACTTGTTCTGGGTAGACATAATCATAAGGGAACAACACTTCTAACCCGTCAACATCTATCCTGCATTCGGAATAGTTCACAAATGGTCTAACACACTTGCACATTCTCAG